ACTCCACAGAATATTGAAATGTGGGAATGACGAAGAGTCACTAGGGGGAAAAGAAAGCACAAAGAGGAAGAACATTTAATTTAATTTACCTATTGTCATTACGTAGCCATATTTGAAGAAGCAGCCTTATACCTGCCTCTTTTTGTCTCCTCTGCCTTGCTCCTCTCTAAAGCCAAGGGTTGGAGTAATACTCCTGTCAGCTCTCCAAATCTAAGAATAGAAATATTAGAGAGCAGAGATATTGGCAAGAGAAGAGATTGACTGCAGCATTTGAACGTACATGCATTTAAGTGCAGATCATAGCACCAAGAAATATTAATTATCAAGTTTATTGCAAATAAAAAAGGGAAATCAGTCTATTGTCCCCCAAAGTTGACTCATTCAGTCATTAAGTTTTCTAAGGGTGTCACCTGTCCCATCCTTACTCTGTGTAGGAACTAAATCAAACTAGAGCTTTGCTTTCTGGATTCCATGATGTCTTTTATTTTTGTGGTTTGAACTAACCAGCATGTTTGATAATCTGTAATCTGTGGTGGCTGACTTTCTTCACTGGATTCTCCTCAGGTTTCTAGCAAGTCATTCTGCACAGTCTCACTATGAGTTTGAACATGACCCATAGTGAATCCCCTTCACAGTCCATTCATGGCCTGAATAAAACAAGAATCATGTGAGAAAGATGAGATTATTTAACCAGATAGTTCTCACAATCAAAGGTTGTACTCATACCTTTATTGTCCTAATTCTGTAATATCCTAATCTTGACTTTGTGTTTGCATTCTGCCTTTTTTAGTATAGAGCATCCAACTTTCATTGCATTCTTTTTTCGTGTTCTTTCTATCTTTTCGAAACACTTCTACTAAAATATAAATTGGTTAAAATATTATCATAGTTCATTCTTTCTGCACAGTGGTAGAACAGGCCTTATTGGATTGCCCTCTTTATAAAGTGAGCAGATAGAAGAGGGGTAAGAGGACTTAAAAATTGAGATCTTTCAGCATATAACAAATATGAAAGATACCACTCTCACAGGGCATTAGTGGGATCCAGTAAGCAAGGTTAAAAAAATATAGGAGGTGGAAATGCATAACAAAGTGTGTGATTCAGAAAGATTAAAACACCTCTTCCACAGCTACTGATGGTTGCCATTCATTGTAAATGACAACGGAGTCTTCTTTGATTTAATTTGATAGATGAGTTCTCAGCAAGCTATAAAAAATCCATTTCCATGACAAATACCTTCCCACCCCCAGACCAACAGCATCAAACATGCCTAGAAGTTGTTACTAAGTTTCCTTTGGACTCATATTTAACTAATAATGTAGTGGTCAGTTCAAATGTTATGAAACTGAAACAACTGAAAACTGGAATCTTGGACAATGATGTGCTCCCACAGAGCAGTGAAAATGCTGCTTTTGGGGTTTTTTTAAGGAACAAGGTTTTATGACCAGTCAGATGACAGCTGCACTTTTTATTTTCTCAGTTTTGTGCCTATGTAATATGCACCCCTGAGGCTGGGGAAGAACTTAATGGCTGTAAGAACCTCGAGCAGTAAAGACTCTTCCACAGGAGAGCCCACGGCTGTGTTTTGGAGTGATGGAGACATGGCCTTATTTACTGGACTGGGCAATTCAAAAGACACTCAGGTGGCCATAGAGTAAACAAACAAAACTAAATCCCATCTATTCAACATTAAATAAGGAAAATTAAATCAGATATGAAACTTCTGTAATTTTCAATACTCATGGTCAAAGCCAGATGAAGCTGCAGCAAAGCACATTTATAGATGTGTTATCTTTTATTAACCCAATTAAATTATCAGTGCTTCTCTGCCTAGCTGCTCATATTTCATTGGAGAAGCCTGTAGTGTCCCTGAATTGTTTATTCAGATACCCTGCTAATTACTGAACCTTTAAGACAATAAACTGTCTTTCCCCAGGCTTTACAAAAGTCAAATTTCATACTCTTCCTATGGTCAGTAACTCACAAAGTCACCTCTGGTAGAAAACATTAGGGTAAACAAGATGTCACCCAGTGATCTGGAAGGTAGAAAAAACACTCTGTGGTAACACAGGTAAAAACAATATTTTTTTGTTTGGTTGGTTTTTGAGGGTTTGTTGTTTTGGGGGTTTTTTTTGTTTTGTTTTTTTGGTTTTTTTTTTTGTTTGTTTGGTTTTTTTTTTGTTTGTTTGTTTTTGGTTTTTTTGAATACTCAATCATTAGAAATCATTTGGAGATTTTCTGTGAAAAATGGTAAATTTAGTACTTATTTTTGTTAATTTTCAACTGGAACACAATAATTGTTATCAGAGTCTAAGCTTAGATATGTACAGCAGCTGAAGTGCTGTATTTCAGACTGAGCCTGCATATTCCTTGACTTTGACAGAATAACAGTTTATTCTGTTCCACCAGGAATGCTGGCAGTCAGTTCTGAGTTATCCAGAGGGATGAATTTTCCATAGCTTGTGATCATTTCAGGGCTTTCAGCTTAGGTTATTTTATCTTGCTTATGAAAGGCTGTTTTTTATTTGGAATATCAATAATCATGATTGTGAGATTCTGCATTTGGGTGAGAAGTGGTTTGTTAATACCTCTCTAAACCTCTCAACTGAAAGCTTTCCTGGTATCCCTGTAGCTTCTCTGCCATGGAATTTGATACATACTTGACTTAAGGGATAGATGTACTTGAGTTGACTTCAGAAGTAAAATGATATGCCTTAATCAATTTTTTCCCCTCCACCTTTTCAATGAATATCTGTGCTTTCTTTTAAAAGACATACCATGTCAAAAACATAATTGCTTTAAATACAATAGAGACTACCATTTCAGAATAAAACATTTGGTTTTGTTTCAGTTAGAAATAAATCTTTTCCTTGAGTTTGATTTTGAAATAGTGAAGTTCTTGAATTTTATACCAAATACTGCTCTTGAAAGAGAAATTTGTGTTTCTTTTGATCCAAAGTAATTTGTTGTTTGGGGGACAGAAGGGAAGAAGGAATGATTTCAGAACTGACAGACATGAATTTCAGAAGTAATAAGGATTTTAAAGAGCACTCATTTTGCATTGAATGAAACTGTAATCTTGAATTATCAGCTCTTGAGTCACAAGAGTAGCATATGAAATAAAGCAAGAATTTAATATTTATCAGGGTAGGATTTGGGCATGAGGAGATAAGGAGGGAGCAGGGAAGCACACCCTTTCCCCAGTTTTGCCTTGCCTCCTCTCTTCCTTCCAGCGAAGCTGAGAGGAGTCAGTGCCTACAGCCTGTGTCTGCAGTGCTGCCTTCTTCCCTGCACCAAACCTGCTGCCTCTCCAATCAGTGGAAAATTGCCACTCACTATCATCACAATTGCATCAGACCAGCAGCCTACTTCCAAGGGGAAAATCCCTGCTGTTCCCACCCCTTTCATCTCTAACACCAGAAATCCTTTTTTTTTTTTTTTTTCCCAGTCAGTGACAGCAGGGCAGGATACCTCTCTAATGTCTATTCAGCAAAGTCAGAACAGCACACCGGGAGGAGAACTGCTGAAATTGCTGGGTCAAAATTAAGCTCTTGAAATTGCATTTGAAAAATTGGCTCTTGGGTTCTGAGAGGCAATCAAGTGTTATCTTTTTCAGTGTCATCTTACTCCTTTTCATTCAGCTACTACTGAAACTGCTTTTATATCAAGAAAGGCCTTTGGAATCAGAAGAAAAGCTGATCCTGTATATGTTATCTATGAGTTGATACTTTTTAATAACTCAATATGAACTGACACTGAATCCATTAAATGCATACTTTGAGGTACTTTTTAAAAACACCTAATTTTTAATCTTTTTGTATCTTATTACAAGAAAAGGAAGTACTGCCTATTTCTTCTAGCAGTGTAAAGAAAATAGTCTTGAATATGTCAAAGTGAGAAATAGCCACATAGAACCTCAAAATTATATTTATAGTGCTGGTTTCCATTGTACTACTGAAGGAGTTAAGAGGGAAAGGAGCCTGTAAAATCTGCACATGTCTGAGTTGCTCTTTAATTTTTAATGTTTTCATATGGGGAAGCCAGAAGACAGAAACTGCAATACATGCTTGGCATGTGCAAATGTGGTAGCTGGCAGAAAAAGAAAGAAATCTCTGTTTAAATGTGTGTGATGAAGTCTGTGGATGATTTTAAAATAATATCTCAGTATGCAGACCCGAGAGATCTGGGATAAGATTTATTTTAATGATTTGTTTCTGCTTTAAAGGCCAGCAAAAAAAGGCTTGTGAGCTTTTGCTGTGGTTAAGAACAGCAGGGACCCCAGCTCCCAGCAGCTGGGGAAGTGATGAGCTCTGAGCATCCCAACATTCCCTGTCCCAAGGCTGGCTGCTATCCAGGTTGTTTCCTAACCCAGTCAGGAAGGTTGTGAAGGTTTGTGCTAGAGAGTGTCAGAGTCTCCTTCCTTCATCTCTTCCTTCATCCCTTCCTCATCCTCCAGCCTCTCATGCTAACAGGGACCAGCTGATGTCACCCTGCTCTGAGGTTTTTTGGGGTGCTGTAGGCAAATCAGGCCAGCCATAAACATTTGGGGATGTCATCCCTGTCTCATCAAGGAGTTGTGGGGGTAAATATTTTAGGTATTGCAAGTTGTCCATTACTTCAGTAAGGAAGCCATATTAACAGTTCTGGCAGATATAAAAGTTATCTCACTCTGGTTAATACATGTAGATAAAACATAAATAATGTTTAGTGATAGTAGTGAAGTCACTACTATCTTCGCTAAAAGATGATTTCAAGCAGCATTGAGGCCTGACTAAAAATTGGGGTTATCTTTCTTAACAATTCCCTATTATATACCAAGAACAGATTATTTTTATTCTTTTAAGTCCATATACAAAAATAAAAAATGTCAATAATTGTATCATCAAAGCGTCTACGTCTAGATTGGAAAGGAAAGCAGCAGCATTATTACTGCCTGGAACAGATTTTATTTATGGTCAAAATGTTCTTCTATTAATGAAACTTATCTTCTTGCTTTGCAGCTTGCAGGCCTGGATTCTATAAAGCGTTTGCTGGAAATGTGAAGTGCTCCAAGTGCCCTCCACACAGTTTGACTCACATAGAAGCAACTTCTGTCTGTCAGTGTGAGAAAGGTTATTTCAGAGCTGAGAAGGACCCACCCACTATGGCATGTACCCGTAAGTCTGATCATTACCAGTGTTGGCAATTCTGTTGCCTCCTTTATTTGATTTTGTATTTAAAAAAGAAAAACAACCCCAAACTATGAGTTTGTGAATAATTTCATTCCTGTTAATCAAAAGAGACTTTTAAAATCAAAATGCAAACTGCATATTTCTGCTTAGTGTCTAGATAACTGTAAACATACCCAGATTTCTTAGTTTGGTGACTTTTGAACTTGTAATTCAGAGATGTAATAGAAAGAAGCATAATTGTTTTAATATAGATAACAATACGGTGTTTTCACTACCAGTTATGTGCATTTTATATGCTTTAAAATTTGCTAGTGCAAAAACTTTTAAAAAGCTGGAGTCATGTAAAGAAAAAAAAACCTGATGTAACATGCTCCACTATCTCCTCAGATTTAAATGAAAAATATAAGACAAATATCCCCACACAATCAAATAAAAACTAAATACTCTAAAAAAGACAGGAAAATAATTTTTAGAAAGGAAAAAAATTTATCAAATCAGAATGAGATATAATTTAAACCTCTTGCACCATCACCTTCTTTTAACAGAGAGTTATTCCCTCTTATGCAACTGTGATAATGAAAATTCATTAAGGTTTTTTTTGATGAATTTTAGAATACATAATTTTGTGATTTTAGACTAACCTGTATTTGTCCCTAAAATAAGCCTGATGTCCACCATTCTGGGGACAGAAATTCTAAGAGATTTTTATTAATTTGATCAATGAGCTTATGTCCAGACATACATAGCATAAGTTTTCTTACCACTTAATAAAATATTTCTAATAGATTTCCATTCATGGTTCATTACTCACTGGGATTAATTTATTGATTGTGAAGCAACTATATCTGTTTAATCTCAAAACTAGAACAAACAGCAGTATTTGAAAAGCTGTGTGTAAAATACTATATTTTAATAAGCTATGAAAATCACTTATTTAATAAGGTGATTAAAGATTTTGTAGAATCTTCTAAGACACTTGGTTTTTAGTATAACACCTTATTAATTCTTTTGGGGGAAGATTTGATATTGCTACTTAATTGCCACAATTAAGAGAATTCTAAAAAACTAACATGTTAAATTAATGAAGTATTTTGACAGATTAAGTATACAAATATTTTGAGATAAAGCCCTAAAGACAAAGTTGCTGTTGCAATAACCATCAGTGCTTAGCTGTGTTTTGGGATGTTTCATGCAGCATCACGAAAAAATAACTGAGCTGACTGCTCATGCTGCTTTTTCCAGTGACACTGGACTGGGCAAATTTAGAATAGACATGAGAATTTAAAGCTGATTTGCAAATTCATAGGCACTGAGGTCATTACCAAAACCAAGACATTGTCCATCCACTTCATGAGGGTGATGGTCACTAAAAATGGCCCTCCTCAGACCCAAGGCAGAAAACTGTTTAATCTAACCAGAAGGTTTTCAGGGGGAAGGGAAGTTCCAGCCTCTGGATAGCTCAGGGTCTCAGGGTTCAGAGAGTGTCCCCAGTCCCAGCTCACTTTGGAGCAGAGCACATGGGCCTGGCATTTTGCATGAAGTTTGTGAGGGAATAAACTGCATTCTTTCAGGCTTCCCATGGGAAAATGGTGATTACGAAAATTCCACTCAAATCTATGCCTCAAGCACAAAACTTACTCCCAGAGCCAAAACATCCCAGGTGTTCTTGACACTTTCATGCTTGGGAAGAGGGTTTCACTCATACATTATGCAGATGTGGCTCCATGTTATTTGTAAGTCATTGACTTTTCATTGCCAAAAGAGAGTTCTTTGAAAATATTACTCAAATGTGGCATTGTGATTCCATAATTGTCTTTCAGGGCACAGTTATAATCCCTGATATCCTGGTATGTTGATAAGGTAGGGAGAAGCATCAGAGCCCTGTGGCATCAGAGTGCAGTTACTTCAACACCCTGCTGGTTTCTTAACAAATGTGAGTGCAAAGAGCTGCTTTGGGTGAAAATTGTCAGGAAAATCTTGGTCAGACCTCCACATTCCTGCTCAGGATGTCAGCCAAAGTAACTGAGTGAGTTGAGGCAGGGCAAAAATCAACCACAACAGGATATCAGTGCCTCATCTCACCTCAGCTTGGGAGAAGGAAGAACTAAAGGAGACAGTGAAGCACATTCTGGTTTCTTGGTTCAGTGCCACCGTGCACTGTCTCCTATTCAGCCTAGGCTGCAAGGTATCAGTACTTCATTGATTGGCACAGCAGGTGATTTCATCTTACACCTACAGTGATGATTATTTCACTAATTGTCAGCTCTGCTAATGACACTGAAGCTCTTGACAGGCAGACTGTGTTCTTACCTTGCACATCAGCAGTAATGGAGAGTCTTCAGGCCAAGTTATTCCCTAAGTGATATCTGTAGCCCCACTGCCTTCAAATTTGTGTCTCTCAGTTATTAAAATTATGTTTCTGTCATAAATACAATCTCACTGCTTTTGGTGGATCTGTGCAGATGTGGCTAATTTAAATTTAATAAAGAAAGATACAGATATGAGTGGAATTTAGATTGGTCCTTCCAAACTGTCATGTTTTTACAATTAAAAAAAAAAGGAGTTGAAAAGTTTTAAGAAAATTGGGAACTTTGACTAAATAGACAGAAAATGCTGTGCAGAAATGAAATGCCATTTTTACATAACTACCTTTGGTTTTGCATTTTTCATATTCATTTTCAGATTTCTATATTGACATATGAGACATGATATAAGAAACATAAATTTTTCTTGGGACCTTTGAAGGGAGAGATATTCTTAACTGAAACACAGAATGAGCAGTGAATTCCCCTTACAACTGTCTTCATGGTCAAACATTTTGACTGACTTTTTTGGTGCCCATTTTATTTACTGCTCCATGCTTAAGATAGATATTTTGTTTTCTCTTTTCATTCCTGCCTAGGGTTAGGCAGTATGGGTTAGGCAGTATTCCTCACTCCAGAGCTCTTCCTCACTACTGAGAAACTTGCATGTGTAGCATTATGGAAAAAAACCCACCTTGATTTAAGACAGGCATCCATTTCTTTCTAGATGAGCTTCAAATCCACTTCAATTCTGTGAAAGTACTGTGTGCTTTTACAAAATTGTACAGCTCCCATTTTTACTTTATGTAGCTGCATTTCATGGAGGAGAGTGTTCACTTTGCGGAAGACCATAATAGAAATCTAATTTCAGTAAGAGGAATGAAAATTACATTAGAATATATTGTTAATCTCCTTCTCCTAGGCTCTTTTCATTTGACTTACACTTCTTATTAATCTCTCACTGCTACTCTTCCTTCTTATTGTATTTCTTTGCCACATGCAAGTACTCTATCAGCGATCTCTGCATACACAGTGAGCAACAAATAGCATCACATCTAATCCCCTGTCTGATTACTCTGTACATAAAGTCTAACATTTCCCACTATAAAGTAATTGGATTAATTGATCCATCTTTTCAAGGTCAGGCAGGCTTATGTTGGTTGTCTGAGTTGTCTGAATTGCTCTCTTTTAATGTTACACTTAAACAATTTGAACCTGACAAACTTATGCTCTGTTCAATAACTTCTGCCACAAAGTATATCCTCTATTTTTAAGTCAACACTGAATTTCAGCAGCAAAATCAGGCAACACACTTGAAGTCTTTACTGCCTCTATTGTTATATATATACACACTTTTTTGCAATTTAACATTATGCTCAGACTTGAGGTATTGGTTTGCAGTCACTGGCTTCTGTTCTTCCTGCCTGCCTCACAGGAAAAGAATAAGTGAAAAGTGAAAAATATAATTCTACATCAAGTGACACTATTTATCTATGCTACATATATTGATATCAAAACACAATTATGAACTCAAGGGCACAGGTAGATGCTGAGCATCCTAAGGTGATGGTTAGTCTTTGCCCTTCTGCTGTAACTTCACTAGTCAAATGACAAAATTCTGAGTCCAGTAGTGTATAATGGACAGTTCTTACTTAAACAGTAACAATTTGTTTTCCAGACAGTCTTCACTCCCAAGCGTGTAAAATACTGCATTGCCCTCACCAGACTTCTGCAGTGCTGGGTTTGCTCCTCTTCATTCCACACACAGGAAAACGCGCTTTGCCTTCAGAGAGGAGGAGAATACATAAAACGAGATGAGGTGCAAAGCACCACATGAGGCACAAACTCAGCTCTGCTGCTTTCAGAGCAGACCTGCTTCACCATAAGACATCCACGCCAGTCTCCTCCACAGCAAGTGTCAAAATACTTCCTCATTGTAATTTGTAAATGAAGAAAAGGACATTACTCACGCTCTGGCTGAGTTCCATCTCAGCAGAAGAACTGCATGTTTTTATAATGCTCATCCATCTGAACTGTATTTTATTCTTTCGCATCAAACTCAAAGTCATGAATTTTGCTGTGAGGAAAGGATCCCTTATTTTCACCAATGTACTTGTTTTTCTTAAAAATCAATACAAGGAAATCCCTGAGAGCTTTGCATACAGATGTCTGCAGAAGGGTTATTGCTGCCAGCTTTTTCCAATGTGCCAAATAATCTTTGTATAATTTATAAATGATAACAAAGCAATCAGGCCACATTCATAAAAGCCCAGTGACACATAATTTAGCTGAATCTGAGGATTACAATTAATTGTCTCTCTTTGTTCCAAGTTCTAAATCTTAGTAAATGATTCACTGCATGTCATTACAGCTTAATATTTGCATGAAATCACAGTTTAACTGGCATAATTTAACAGCAATTAAAAAGCTATTTAATCCTCATGCAAATTGGCATGAGGGGCCTTCAGTATGAAGTGTGTTTGCAGGTTCCTGCATTTGCAAGAGGACAGTCATCTACTTTAAGACACTTCTAACACAATTCATAGTTTTGCTTTTCACTGAAATGTGAATGCACAATAATTTGTGATTTTTCTTACAACTGAGAAATAAGTCACAAACCATGACTATACAAACCTTCACTCTTAGTACAAATTAAAAAATATCTTTTAAAAAAAAGTATTTTATTTGCTGTATCAGTTCTTCTATAGATGCCATTCCATATAGTACAAGGAAAATCTGATAGAAAATCAAAATCCACAAAGGCAGACAAAACTCCCCTATTGCCTAGATTTATATTCATTCCTGTTTGGGCCTGCCAAAATTGATGAAGTAATATCAGAAAAGCTTGAGCTGCGATAACCTTTGTCATACTACCTATACTTGATGTAAGATTAAATTTAAGCCAGTTTTAGAACACTGACTCCAATCCTTCAAGCAATTACACAGCTGCTTAGTTTTACGTGCATTAATATTACCAATTATTTCAAGGAGATTACTCATCTACTTCAAGTTATGCACATATGGAAGTGCGATTACGGCTCATCCCCCATATCCTTAAAGCTCCTCCATGGTTTTAACAGTGGGAATTTGTTAAGACCCAGTCATTATTTAATTCTCACAGCATGGTTTTAGAGGAAACATAATTATTCCTGTCTTCTGAACGTAAAGAATAAGAACTGAAGCTGAAGTAACATGTGCTGGTTTTAGCTTATTCCGATCTCAGGACTGTTTTCCAGAGTAGCTAGAGCTGTCATCCTCGTAGTTATTTTGTGGGAAAATTGGTGATCTGTTAACCATAAATTCTGGACAGATATATGTGTTAAAAAATGCTCATCCATTTAAAAGATTTTAAACTTACTTATCCACTAAAAAAATGCAAATCAGTGTAACACTTCCATCTATTTTAAATATCAAGTGTTTGAAATCCAACAGGTAACTCATAATTTATTTCAGGGCAAAGTTAATTACTCTCTTATTACAAGTCACAAGTAAATACCAGAAATGAAAAAGTGGCTGAATTACAGTTCACAGAAAAGCTTAATGTTTATTATTCACATTAGCACTCCCACACAATAGCAGCTTTTTTATTTACAAGCATGCTGGGTTTTATACCCATGCTTATGCCACATAAATAAAAGGCATCACTTAAAAATTATGAATGTTACACTTTGTGTAAAAATTAGCTGGTGTCATTTGCAAGTGTTTCTTGTAGCCTTTCAGTCTGCTTAAGAAACGCTGAAATAAGGAAAAGCTCACTCAAAATTTTACCAGTGTCTCAATCAAAACTTATGCCTAAAGTCCTGTTGGTAGTTTTGTAAATCATCAAAAGCTGCAAAGCAAGCTGAAAGTTTTCCAAGTTCTGCCAACCATTGGTGAAACACTGTGATTTTATTGAGATCTGGGAATATAATGCTTATTCAACTCATTCAGCCCAAAAACCCCAGAGGTCAGCAGTTGTGTTTACCACAGTCATCTTACATATATCAACAATGGAAGTATTGGGCCTCACATTTTTCCATGTCCATGTTTCTTATAATAATTTTTATTTTGGAATTACATCCAAATTGGTTTTCAAAATCATATATCTGTAAGAACTTGCCTGAAACACGTTAAGTGGAAGAGTAATACAATAAGAAATTGAGATGAGATGATTCAGATATCCTGTAACAATTTTTACATTTCCATCACCCACTCATTAATTCCTATCTAAAAGATAATTAGGTGGTAAAGTTCTTCTGTTGGACTGTGGAATCTGATATGGAATCATAAAATTGTAGGGTCATTAAGGTGGGAAAGGCTTCTAAGATCACCAAGTACAATCTTAGACCAATCACCACCTTGTAACCAGACCACAGCACTAAGTGCAACATCTCATGGTTTCTTGAGCACCTCCAAGGAATTTGATTACTCCCTCTGACGACAGTAAATTCTATTGCCTGGCCACCCTTTCTGTGAAGAAATTCTTAATGTCCAGCCTGAACCTCCCCCTGGCACAGTTTGAGGCTATTTCCCTTTTTCTGTCACTAATTGCCTGAGAGAGGAGACCAACCCCCATCTGGCTGTACCCTCCTGTCAGGGAGTTTTGGAGAGCAATAAGGTCATTCCTGAGCCGCCTCTTTTCCAGTCTGAACACCCCTAGCTGCCTCAGCTGCTCCTCATCAGCTCCAAACTCTTCTCCAGCTCCATTGCCCTTCTCTGGACAATCTCCAGCCCTTCTGGGCCCAGAAGTGGACACAGGACTCGAGGTGCCTCACCAGTGCTCAGTGCAGGGGGCAATCACGAGATCACTCTATATATTTATTTTTATATGTATATATAAAGCCTCAGATGATTTCCATGTGATCCTCCACAGTAATTCAGCACTTGTTGGACAGTCCATGACTGCTGTGTGATGAGTGGGAAATTGGAAGTGGGTCCCTTGTGGTTCTCTGGCAGCGCACAGACAGCTCTAACACCTGCTTGTTGTCTTTGCATTCCTCCTCATAGCCTTAAAGTAGTTTTTCTCTTGCTTCCGGATCATCCTTTTAGACTTTAAGTTGATGTCTTCACTGTTATCCTGATGCTGATGAGATGCCAGGTGGGAAAGAAAGAAAACTTGTGCACTGTTTCTTATGCCTAATAGTCTTGGCCTGTTGCCACCTAACCCTGATAATCAGCAGCAGCAAAGAAATCCCTGGGGATAAGCAGTGAAGGATAGAAAGAAATATCTGGCAGTACAAAACTAATACAAACAATTTTACCTCTTGTCTTCATTCCAAAGCTGTTATTTATTTATTACTCAATTTGTCTCTTACAAAACATCAAAGATTTTAAGTCTCAGAAAAGCCTACATTATTAGACGTAAAATAAGGTTATAAATTTTGTGGTTAAAGCTCTCCCTCAGTATCCCACAGCATCAAGAGCCATTTATTGAAAATTGGGGTTATGTAGTCTAGGTTTCATGTTCCCAAGTCTTTTTTGTGTTGCCTTAAATTCTTTCTGAATTAATTCTAAGTTATTTTGATTATTGAGCTTTTTATGATGTCACCAATTTATTGTTCTTTTTTTTCAAGGATTGTATATAGACAACTTTTAACTTTTACATTGAATATGTCATTGAAATTAGCTCTTATTTACAAATAATTGCCTTCAGGCAATTTTTTTTCCAAAGTAGGTAACACTGGCTTACCAGGCTTCCCCCTCCTTTTCTGCAGGGCCACCCTCCGCTCCGAGGAATGTGGTTTTTAACATCAACGAGACAGCTCTGATGCTGGAGTGGAGCCCCCCGAGCGACACGGGCGGGAGAAAGGACCTCACCTACAGCGTGGTCTGTAAGAAGTGCGGCTCGGACGCCAGCCAGTGCGAGATCTGCGGCGGCGGCATCCGCTTCATCCCCCGGCACACGGGGCTCACCAACTCCTCCGTCACCGTGCTCGACTTCGTGTCCCACGTCAACTACACCTTCGAGATCGAGGCCACCAACGGCGTCTCGGAGCTCAGCTTCTCCCCCAAGCAGTTCACAGCCATCACGGTCACCACGGACCAAGACGGTAAGTGCCATGTGCTTGTCACCGTGTCCCTGCCACCTGGGCACTCGCTGGGGGGATCCTGTGTTTCTTGGAAGCCTGGGTCGGTGGTTAGGGGGTTTTGCAGATTGCTGAATGTTTTTGAGTGCTTTCCATGAGGACTTTCAGCTTCTGCTGTTGAGGGCATTAAATGCTTTTGGCAGGCGGCCCTTGACCCCATTACACAAGGCACAAACCCATACCTTTCTGTTTAAAATTAAGTGCAGGCTTTAGCCATCTGAGATCAGCTGTGTCAGTGATTCTTCAGGACTAGAGTCTGTCTGGTGCTTTTGCAACTTGTTTTGCAAGAATAGAACACCACAGGTTAACCATTACAGCTCCACCATTCAAAGGCAGAGTGAAAGTGAACTCACTTTCCGTGGTATTTGTGTTTCATAGCACAGATAATACAGCCTACCTCACTGTAAGATACTTCTGCATCTGAATGAGCCATTTCCTCAGGTGAGCTATCCTAATAGATTTTTTTTTTATTCCTTTATTTGTAGACTTTGCATTATTGTTTTGAGCTTTTTTTTTGCCTGCATTTCAGTTTGAATTTGTGTCCAAGGTGAATCTTCATGAGGAACATGGGAATCTGAGAGCTCTGTTTTTTTTGTTTATTTCTGCAACTCTTTCTTCTTTAGAGATACTGACTGTGCTAGGAAACAGCATCATAGGTTAGCAACAATGCAATCCATATAGCACTGCTCTCTTCTGGCTGGTGTAACTGTAGTCAAGAAGGTTATTTCAGAATTATCCCTTGCTGACATTTGTTCCAGAAATGTTTTTCACCTGCTGTGCAGTGACATTGCAACTGCAGCTGACGTGTTTAATGTAGAACAGGAACGGAGCTGGCAGAACTGCTGTTTGGAGTAGAACACATTTTTGGATATGTTTCTGCTAAGTAAAAGTGCTAATGCTCAGGAGCATCCTGTTATGTTCCACTTGTAGGGAAGGCCCTGGGTTCTTTCACTGAGCAGCCTAGCAAAAATCTGCTTACCTGTGTATCTAGGACGAGTAGTTTTGTTGATGAGTAAGTAATGACTCGTTTGCCTTTGGGCATACGAAAACAAACAGCTTGCAGTGATGATGGTGATAATAGTGACAGTGATGGTAATACTAATAATATTAATGAAAATTGATTTGAAAAAGCACAAAACCCACTTGCTCACTGTCCATGATGATAACAGAAGAGCTGATTATGTAAGATGCCTAATGATATATAGGCCTTGCATTGAGAATTGCCTGAAGCACTGAGGCAATCTGACATGTTGGAAACCTGCATCTCCCTTTTCCTTTCTCACTAAAGGGAGAAAGTGAGGTGTCAGAAACTTCCCCTGTGTAAACTTGCTCTATGTAAACTTCCTTTTGGATGTTTTGCTCCATGGTATTAAATGCAGTCACCAAGATCGCCCAGGTGGAGGTCACCTGAAATACAGTTCATTTTTGAAGTGGATAACAGCTGTGTGAACACAGCTTGAGATATTTAAGTGGTAGGCTTTTAAAAAATAATGTCTTTTGCTGCTGTCTGTCCCTGGTTAAGGATATAGATTTTCTCTGCAGTTTACTCAAAACAGGGAAAAGACCAATGCTTTGATAGTTTTTGACATGCTGACAGTAAACTCTAGACTGTTTGCATTTCCTTTAATCATTCTTACATTACCAAATGCTATTGGAAAGGCTTCAGAGGATTTAAGATCAGATTTTCAGAATATCTGTCAGTTTATCTGGATCTAAAAAGACAGCTTTGCATGAGAAAGTGCTGTAATAAATGAAATGGAGTCATACATAAAATGTAGTTATAAAGAAAAAAAACATTTCTGTAGGCTTACAGGCTGTGTAGTTGTATAAAACTATAAGCATGGTGACTATATATTTAAAAGGACAAGAAAAAAATGCAGTGTTGTGTGATATATGGAAGAAAATTCATGGAGTTTTTGTTGATGGAAAGTATGTAGAGAAAAATGGACATATTTTTGAGTTACTTTTAGTCATAAATAAGAAGGGATATAGAAAAAGCTAGGGTATCCAACCTCAGAAAATCAAGCTGTAGAAATAAAGCTTTGGAACATTGTAGAGGTTTTATTATAAATTCACTGCTAGTAGTGTTTCCTTATAATCTTAATTCTGATGAAATGGATAGTAGTTATTGCATGATGCTGCAGGTTTGTGCACATATTCATAGAAAACAAAGATCCAAGATTAAACACACGACATGACAACAAAAATATATTTGTTTTTACAAGGACCGCTTTACCAGAAGTCCAAAGGTATTGGTTTAAATCCATTTTTTTGCATTTGATATATGTCTAATGTGAAAGATACAGGTGTGCAATAAATTATACCCACACAACATATTTATCCCATGTTGAAACTACCTTTTAATATGCAATCTTTTCCTACATACTGTTTTAATGGTTTTGGTATGCACATTGCATGAAGTGCAAGACCTCTTTATAAATACATTAATTGTTTTATTCAGTTGTCATATCTGTTTTAAGAATACAGACCAAAACCTTCTGCTGTTGTAAGTCCAAACCACTCTGTTAGCTACAATCATTTAGAGTAGGGTTTTTCTTATTTTATTTTCTTTTCTTTGAGCATATTGGATTTACTTCCCTCTAGTGGCCTTTTCTTTTGAGTGGTTTGTGTGAAATTAATGATTTGTCATTAAACATGCAAAATTATTAGCTTGTTCTTCTAGGGGTTTTCTTTTCTCTCTTTCTGGAGAACAATGTTGCTGAATAAAGTAATTCAGTGAAGAGTTCTGTGGGCATCCACAGAAACTGAAGAATTGCATTCTGACACATTAGTGAAGAGAGTAGTCTGAGAACATCAAAGAGGGGGAATATTTGCTGACAGGAGAAGTGAACTAATTAAAAAGTGATTAAAGCTGATTATTATGCACAGAGCCCTACCAAAACTAATATTAAAATCTTAACTTCCTCCTCATGCAGTCACAAGTATCAACAAGATTAAGAGTGGTACTCAGCTTTAACAGTGACAAGGAGCAGACTGAAGGAAAGTAACACTTGAAAAAAGGCTTTGCAAACTGCATCCCTCAAACCTCTCTGTAATTTGATGTCTAAAGCATTGCCAGACCTGATCAAATACTCAAAAAAATTACTAACTTTAATATGAGTAAGTCTTCTAAAATTCCCTTAGTAATATCGATTACATTTTCCTTTAATTTTATACAACGACTGATAAGTTTGATATCCATGGGTTTGGTTTTAAACCCTTGGCTTCATTAGGAAACAAAATTTCTGTGGTCACATTGTCTGTCAGGCCCACAAATAAATATGAACCCATTAGCCAACACGAGTTTGATAACAGCAAAAGAGATTGAACAGAATTGTGAAGAATGATCCTTCAGTCACCAAGCCCTTGGTTAGCTCTGCAAGTTGAAAAGCAAAATTCAGCTACGTGAGGGTTGCTTTCTGTATTAGACACCAGCTGACTGACCACTCAGCCATCCTGTTGACTGGCTAGCCAAGAAAATATATATATTTATGGTCTTGTACAATCAGAGCAGTGTTTTGTCCAGCCAGCGTGGCAAACAGGGATAGGGCAGGGTCTGTTGGGAGGTAAAAATGTTGCAGCTGGAGAGATGAGGGAAGTGATCTATGTGCTACCCTTCAGTAGCTTTGTTTCAAAGTGTTTTGAGATACCAGAATAAATCCTAATTTTGAACTCAGATAAATGGACAGATAAACAGGATTCTGCTCAGAAAAGCACTTAAGCAAAGTTCCTGTTCAAGAAGGAACATTAGTACACATTAAAGTACTTTCCCAAACCACTGCTAAAGTGATTTGTAAACAACTGAAAGATAAAACATGTTTTCACAAAAAGCCTCATCAAAAAATGTTTAACAATGCTATTGTTCAGAAAAGTGCCTGGATGCCTTTTCTTTATGAGAGAGAGAGAGTTTTATACAGCAGTAAATATGCTGAGTACAAAGTAATTGTGCTCAATCAACTTTAAATCATTGTGTGAAGAAGCAGAGAATTATATGCTGAGTTGTAATTTATGTTTCTCTTATGACTAATGGAAGGAAGAGACATCTCAATATATAACTTTCTTAGCATGCCATAGTGTCTGCATTGCCTAAAGAAAATTCAGAAGTATTGGGGATTTTTCATGCATAATTAAAGTAGTAAATAATGAATAATTAAGCAAAACAGAACTTAAAACAGTAGTTTCTATTTCCAAATAACAGTTTGTATGCTTTCACTCACTGTGCATTCAGAAATTCTATTCCTTTAGAACAGAGAGGGTTTTAACACTACAAGGAATGGGAGTATGAGACATGTCCCAAGTTGTGGAAGGTTTACACTGGAAAAATTCCCTTTCTACCGCTGCATCCTGTAAAGTCTTCTCCTTGCTCAGTTCTGCAGTTTGTGGGTGACTCTGTGGGTGACCCTGCTGCCAGCTGGCAGAATCTGAGGCATGAGCAGCTTCACTCAGAGGGCACACACCCTACCACTGTATTAAACACTTGGCTCATTTTTCTGTGTCTGTCTAGTGTTGACAGCTGAGAGTTTCAGTCAGACCCCAGAAGTGCAAATCTGTCAGGATTCTGTTGTGTAATACATCTTATTTTTATGTGAGCCATTGGCAGATACATCCTAGGTGATGTTTCCTAATCTGATGGTAAAATCTTGCCAGTGTTTGGAAGTGTTTAATCTAATTCCTTTTTCTAAATTAAGGCCTATTTCTAGTACAGGTGGCTCCTCAGATATATTTATAGTTCAGTGGAGACCGTCTGTAGAAAAAGGAACCTCTTATCACTCATTGCTGTGGGAATTGATGAATACCTGGGAGGACTTCAGTGTCTCTTCCAGAAATACACACGACTGTATCACCATGAATTAAAGGCATGGAATATTATAATCACTGTGGAGATGGTGTAAGTGGTTAAGAGCCTCATCTGGCTGACTTTCTGTGTCTCAGTAACACTACCAGGACAGTTTATCAGTTTATCA